ATATTTAATGATATTAACTACTTTGAATGAATTGAAGTTATTCAATACCAAATGCTCAGAAAGATTTTAAAAACTCTAGAGTGTAAAATTTAAAAATCATTAAACAAGCTCTTGAAACTAGAATCTGCTGGTCAAAAAGAGTCAAAAATGTCAAAAAGAGTCTCCACGATTGTTTGAAATTCTTTAACTAACTTTTCTTTTTTCCAAATTAGCAACTTTCCCTTGATCATTGATACTCATTTTTTGTGAATTTTAACAAATTTTGATAATCTTTATTCTTTCCAATAATAAAGTTTTTAAAACCACAAGTCTCCTAGATAATCAATATTTTTCTGAGAAAATACAATTCTCAATTTGCATTTCATGTTAAAATTTGATCCCAAAGGACAAGAAAAATTATCATAAATTCTTTTGAATCGTTTTGATTTACTGCTAATTAAATATTGATGTCTTAGAAGTAACCCATTAGTTGGAAACTGATTTTGAGCTAAAAAAAGTTGTTGAATTAAAATGATAAAGGGGCCTCCTATAACTAACATTTAGATGTTTAACGTTTTTCACCTTTTTTAATACTTAATTGCATCTGTCTATATGTTGGCATTTACATAAATAATGTTTAATATCTATTTTTTAGTTAATTCAAAAACAAATCATCAAGTTTAATTGGTGTCATTACTAAATAACACACTAAATAATACCTTTAATAAACCTTACATGAAACTATGTTTACAAAGCCTTTTTCTATATATGCAATTTTTTATTAGTATTTTTTTCAACAGTTTAAAATGGTTCCAAACTGCTGTAAAACTTTTTGGAATGCAGTGTTATTCTATTCATTAAATGAAAAATTAAACATTAAGTTACATTTTATTTTTCAAAATTATACATGCAGTAAAAAAATATTAAAAATGAAGAAAATTTTGAAATAATGATTTATTGTAAAATTGTCCGATTTCTATATCTAGCACTAATACTAGTCCTTAAAACAAATCAAAAACACTCAAAATCAAAAATAATGAGGCGTGTAAAAAAGAATTAGACACTGTTATTTTTTATTTATTTTTTTGCAAAAAAGTTGTCACCTTAATCCATTAGCTATTATACTTCTTAATATACACCTTAATCCACAAGCTACTATAAGTGGCTAAACCACACCTTGTTGTCATCTAGTTTTCTACTTTACTGACACAACCTGCAGGTCCTTTTTTCAGAAATGCTTACTTTAAATAAATCCATAAAAAAATATAATAAAGGCTCATCAGTACCCAATCTTCACTATTTAGTGCATTGCACATAGTGATTCACTGGTGACTGTCTGTGGTGATTCACTGATGACTATGTGGTGACTGATGATTGTCTGTGGTGATTCACTGGTGATTACGTGATAGTGATTAATTGGTGACTGCAGATATTCAACGTTTTTTTTAGCAATTATGTATTCAGCTACTTAAACTGTTGTAATTCTTTTTTTGTCAAAATTTTAGATGTGGCAAAAACTAAAGTCTTGATTCCTATTGTGTCGATTAAAAACTGAAATTCGGCTGATTAATGCATCATATTGATTTAAGAAATCCTAGTTTTGTATCAGAATTGCAGTCAACCAGTTTTTACAAAAAAAAATTTTCCAACTATGGGTTTAGACATCCCTTTCTTAAATGATATTTTTCTAATTTCACTGCATATACAATACTTTAGATGGACCTAAACTGTATCCATAACTTATGTAAAAATGGTTTTAGTAATCTACCATTTTTTGTAGAAGATGTTTGATATTTCATCTCTTTTTAATGTACTAGTGGAAAGTTTAATAGTATAATAGTAATATAACATTTATCTATATCTACATTACATTTAATCTTTTTAGATAAAATTTAGCCCTATATCAGTTTGAATATTAATTATAAATTTAATTATTAATATTATATATATTAAGTGTGAAGCCATAAATCTTTGTTATTTGCGGACAAACAAAAACAGTTTTTTTATATATTCTTAGTGATTGTATATAATAAATATATAAAGATGGCTCACATTTAAAAGATGTTATATATTGTTATTTTTCTATTAGTCTTGTTTTATTAACGATACAACAATGGGGTTATGAGTAGGATCCAATTTGACTTTAGATGATCCTAACAATGCAGAAGCATGGATTAGATGCTTTTCAGCTTCTGTACGAACAAAGAAATTCAAAGATGAGATAATGGTAGCTCTGAGAAATAAGATTTATTTCTGGCAAAAGCAGGGTTTGAAGCAGTTAAAAGGATTTCCTTTGTGATATATTCAGAAGAATTAAAAAATATGATGTTTATTTTTGAAACTTTGAAAAGTTGGAAAAGATGGTCAAAGTGCGAAGATGGTTTAATTCAAATGATATTGATTGATGGCCTCTAATCTTCTGATCAGAGAATTAAAGCACTAGAAATGCTACAGAGCGGAGAGCCGCTTAAACGTAGAGCATGTGTTGATTTTATCAGGCAACTTAAACAAATATCCTCTTTTTTTAATGTTAATTCATCCCCCCAAGTCCAAGAAGGCCACTACAGACGAGGAGGCTACTAATTGGTTATAACCCTCTTTCAACTCTATTACTCCAAAACATGAACCTTGACAAACAAGGCTGCTGCCAAGATAAAAAAATTGAGTGTGGTACTACCAGGGATATGGTGAGGATCAAACTCGGAACCACTTGCTTATGAAGTGAGCACTCTTCCACTACACCACTGCTGCATTTTATTTTTAGTATATAAAGCAACTTTGAAAATAACGTAGACCTCCCTTCAGTTAATTATATGGATAAAAATAATTATATCGATAAAAATAAAGAAAAAACAATTAAATGCAAATATTGTGGCCTTTAATACCTACCTAGGTAGTGCCCGTTAACATAAATGATACACAGATTTATGTAAAAATAAATGATTACAATATATAAATTATTTTGAATCTCAACCTCTTCCTATTCACATAAGACCACTAGTGATAGATAAACATAATGAAATGATACAGCAAAGGCTGCTCAAAAGGGTTCCTCCTGGTGGAAGCAAATGGGCATCACCACTTGTGATTGTTAGAAAAACAGATGGCTATTAGAAAAACAGTTTTCTAAAATCTCTATGAAAATATGCTTCTTTTGAGACCCAGGTTGACATATTTTTAAATTTTTTTTTTTTGTTTACAATATTAGGGATTTTACCTTAAATGTTAAATATTTGAATCCAAACATCTTTACAACTTGGTGTGATGGTAAAAAATAAGTTGCATTTTTGAAATCAAAATGAGAAATACTATACAAAAATCAAATTGTTGCTCCAGAAAATTTTTTTTTTGTGTTGACCTGTGTATTAAAAAAAAAAACAGAAAATCATAGAGTATTGATGGTTATCAAAACCAGAGTTAGCAATAATAATTTGAGCCGGTGCTTTGTGGCAGAAAGACCTTATAAATCTAATAGGTATATATGACTATTGAAAAGGGAATTGTATGTAATGGTGATCTTATTGTACCTCCTAAAACAATGAGAAGGATGTTCATCAAATCAGCCCATGATGACATAAATTGTTGCACAATGCAAACTCAATGTAGATTAAAATTAGAAGCTTGGTGGTCTGGCTATTGTAAAAATGTTGAAGAATATGTGAAAAACTGTGAATAATGTGTGAAGATTAAGGTAAAAAAAGAGAGGATACATACATGTTTAAATGAAAATAAACCTTGGTGCAGAGTGCATATGGATTATGTCTATGTACAGGGTGTCGAACTGGTTTTAATTCTAGTAGATTCTTTTTCTGATTGGTCTGAAGTTATTAAAGTAAATAACCGTGAAACTGCCACAGTGAAGGCAGTACTAAAAAGTTTTTTTTTCAAGAAATGGAGTTCCAGAAGTTTTGGTATCAGATAATGCTGCAGAATTTTATGATACCACTGTATACCAGTGGCTGAAAAAAATAGGTTGCTTTCAAAACTCTAACTTACCACCTTCAATCTAATGGAGCAGCTGAAAGAATGGTAAAGACAGTCAAAAGGAGTTTAAAAGTTTATTCACTGGATAATGGTTTATTTTATGGATATTTAAGCAGAATGCTTTTAAGTGACAGAACAATACCTAATGCGGAAGATCAATTAGTCCTTCAAAGATATTGGGGAGGCAGTAATGATCTTCTCTCACTATGAGCTTTGAAAGTGGATCACCCTTATGGTATTGCCAAAGACCAGATTCAAAACCTGAACCTGCTTCATTTATATCTCAGGCTGGGCAAAACACTGTAATCATATTGAGAAATAACTCTTCAGGTACATTAGCACACTGTAACCAAATAAAAAAATGCCTAACTGAGCCTAGTATAGTTTTGAATAATGAAGATAGTATATATTATGATCCCATCAATAATGAGAAACTCAATCCTATCAATAGTGATAAATCTAATATGAGCAACTTACTACTGAAGAATAGCGTACCCTTGAATTAAAGAAGTACATGGTTGACAAGGGGACAAAAGTTAACATGTTTAAGGGATGTGAAGCTGCAAAACTTTGTTATTGCAGATAAACAGTAACAGTGTTTTTATATATATGTGGTGATTGTATAAAATGAATATATAAAGATGGCTTACATATAAAAGATGTTATATATTGTTATTTTTCTATTAGTCGTGTTTTATTAACGATACAACATTGAGTAATTTTAAAGTAATTCTACTGTCAATTATATTCCAAGTAAATTCAAAGTAATTTTAAATATTAATTGCAGCAGTTAAAGTATAATCTATACAAAATATAAATCTGCAACCTACAATTTTTTTTACCTGCGGAAATCTATGTTTATTTTTTATATTTTATAATGATTTTGTATTTTGAGAATGAATGTGAATTAAGATAATTTTATTAATTTAAGATATCATAGTTTAAATTTTGAATAGTTTTTCTATGCTCTAAAAAATTGCCTTTAAAATTCAATAATTCATAATTTAAGATATCATTATCAATGACTTTGCATTTAG